TCGAGTTCACCGTGTTCAGAATGAACACGTGATGTTGAGCTGAAGCATTATACAGACGGCTGAGTTATAAAGGGGCAGCTGAAACAAATACACGGAACAAAGAAGTGCACTGATAAAAGCACTCTGAGAAGACCATTCAAAAGTAAAATTTCATTACTCTGCAGAACAGTGATGCTAAATGAGTTGATTTGACTCTTACATAAACTTTTTCTTCATCTGCTGCTCTTCGTATGGACAACTGCTTGAGCAATATTTAATAAACATTCAAAGGATAACTTGAATAAGTCTTGTGAAACTGCGACGCGTTCTATTAAGACTAAAGAGTTTTTTAAACGACGTCTAGAATAAAAAATTTTAGGAAGCTAGAATAAAGCAATGTTAAAGGAAAAATACCTACTGTTACCTTCAGAGAGTTTGAATACTAACTGGAATTTTTTTCCACGGTTTTGCAGTAAAGGGAAAAATTTGGGAAACTTCTTTTACCTTCTGAGGCGAAGTAATTAAAACAGAAGAATTCTGATTGCTAAACAGTGCCGTTTTTCGCTGTTAGGTTACTTTAGTTACTAAACTTGAAAGTGTTTAAGCATTTGTTCTTATTTCAACGTTGTTCTTTTTTACTAATTTAACAAATTTTTTTCTGCCGCTGATTGGGCTTTTAAAATGGAATTCCCCTATATCGAACAGCTTTGTGAGCAGTCGAAAAAAGGAGATTTGGAAAGCATCCGCCGTTTGTTGTACGAGCACAGAAAGGACTTTGATGAGGGTCACATCAAGGAAGCAATGGTTAGTATTTATAAAAAGTAATGGTATTTGCTCCGGGTATTCTTATTTATTTCGATAGCAAGCAAAAACTACTTTGTTCGCTTGTGAAGAGCTCGTTTGAAAAAATTAAGCATTTTAGTGAGCGTAATAAGTTGAAGCAGTATTTGAAAAGTGCAAAGAATGGTTTCATGAACGATGATTAAAATCGTAATAAACCGTGGTCACAGAAGCAGTTTTATTTATGTAATCAGTGCTTTTATACAGTGAAAATTACTTTTTCATTCGACTTCGATCAGCGCTGATAAGGTTTCAGTGCTTAAAAAAAGGGCAAATAAAATGAGCGCTGAAGATAACAATGCACGACTAAACATTCGTTTGGTTTAAAATCAATTTTGATTTAACAAAGTGGAATTCTTTTCGCTTCAGAAAAAGGCGTTATTTGTAGCTTCTGAATTTGGACTTCTGGAGATCCTTTGGTTTTTTGTGAACTATGGAGTCAATGTCACTGTCAGAGATAAGGATGGGGTAAATAATCAGACTTAAAACTCAAAACTACTTACTGTTTTTGAAAAGAATATAACTATAAACACCAAAGAAAAAATCAAATGAGAAAGAAAAACGATGAAATTTGACAACCCACATAGAGATAATCATGGAGAGAAAAATCTCCAAACCAAGTACAAAAAGCAGTATTTAGCCCAAAAGTGAGTAGATGAAAGTTCAGAAGACAGAGAAGAAGTAAAGTTTATTTGAAATAATCACAACTTAGCGTTTAATGTTTAGCATCTGCTGAAAGAATATGTGAAAAAGCAAAAAAAAAAAAAAAAAAAAAAAAAAAAAA